GGGGGGGGGGGGGTGGTGGTGAAGGGAATGGGGACGTGTCAGCGCATGCGCAGTCACCTCGTGCCGTTCCCGCCGTCCTCCGCTGAGGGAGTGGTTGGTGGGCGCGTGGAGTGGGGACCTGTTTCGGGCCGGGGCCGGGCGGCGCTCGCAGGCCTCTTCGGCGGAGCAGTGGAGGCTCCCCAGGGGGGGAAAAAAAAGCAGAGGCGGCTGCTGTGGTCCCATTATGCGGCCCTGTGAGGGAGAAATTAATTCTTTGACGCAGCACCGCCTCGTGTCCCGCCTCAGATCAATGAAAACCTCGTGGGCTGTCACAGAGTATCTCCGTGCTTCTAATGCCCGGCATACACAAGCTAGTTTTGATGAGCTTGGTTATAAGGATTAATATGATTTATGTGGGGGTCGTTAATGAACTCCTTCACATATCGAAGCCTCGTTTTTCTTCCCTAATTTCTTACTTGCTTAGGAAACAACAGAAATGACTAACCGAGAAGAAGCTGAGATACAAATTTCAGAATTAGAGTTACTCTCTAGCATGTTTCCTTATGAGGAGGAGTTCGTCGTGACTGACCAGCTGGCTGCAGCAGAGCTAAAGCACTATGTTGAAAATGAGTCTGCAGAGATGCCGTCTTCAAAAGTTCAGTTTATACTGAATGTAAAGCCAGAGGTCTCTAATGCCTCTATGGTATCGTAAACACCGTTTTTTAAATTTTATTTTTATTTTGTGTGATCTTAGGTCTTACTTGAACTGAACATTTGCTCATTTGTTTTTAGGTGGAATTCTCTATGTCCTGTGCTTTACCATTTAAATATCCAGCTGTTCTACCAGAAATTACTGTGAGGTAATGGCATTAAACGTACTGCTAATAAAAACATGTAGAAGCTATGGTGTAGCACATAAATGCAATTATAACAGGAAAAAAACCAGTCCTTTTTTTATAGTTTGCTGTCAAATTAATGGATGGACAACATTGTTGAAGAAAAACAAATCTATGAGGTTATGATTTCTTTGGTGTCCTCAGCAAATGAGTGAGAAAAATGGGAAAAGCACAGAAGAGTGCCATCTTCTGTACAGAGGACTTACATGTAGATACTAGTCAGGTCTGATGCTCAAGAAGAGAGGCTGCTGTCCTTTTTTGATAAGGCTTAACACTAACTGAAGGAATGAAAAGCTACTCAATGGTCTTGTTCTTTCCTTGTCAAAATGCTGTTACTCCCAGGCTTATGTTATTTTTTTTATTTGAACATTTCTGGTTAAAGAAGTAGCCTTGCTTATTACAGGAAATTAGTTCAGCCACCATACTTACTTTTTTAGAACCTTTTTTGTTGATTTTGATTTACTGATTGGTAGTACTATACGTGAGGTCAAGAGTTAGCACACCAATTAAATACTAATTAAGACATTTTTATAGCTAGTATGACTTAAATATCAGTAGCAAGTGCATACCTTCTAAATAGGGCCTGATTTTTTTGGCAGCTTGAAGTTTGAAAAATGTGCTAAATTGTAAGCATATTACAACAGCATTTATATTTTTATTTTTATTTAGGTCGTCATTATTAAGCCGCTCTCAGCAGATTCAGATGAACTCTGATCTGAAAACATATTTGATGCAGAACTGCAGTGGTGAGCCCTGCATGTTGAGTGCAAGGGAGTGGGTTAAAGACCACGCAGCTGCTTACATTGACAAAGAGCTTTCGTCTTCCTCACTGACAACATCGAATGCCATGCAGTCAGAAGATGTCACGTTCACTCGATTGTGGATCTATAGTCATCACATTTACAACAAGCAAAAAAGAAAGAATATTATTGACTGGGCCAAGGAGCTCGCTCTATCAGGGTTTTGCATGCCAGGGAAACCAGGTGTTGTTTGTGTAGAAGGTCTACAAAGTAGTTGTGAAGAGTTCTGGTCAAGGTTAGTTTTTCTTTGCACTTAAATGCCATTAGTAGTTAGAATATTACATGTTTCATGTTGTATATGTGGCCAAAAGGTGGGAAATCCAACCACCTTCCAACCTGTAAAGGTCTGCAAAGTGTTTGTGTTTATCATAACGTATTTACAGCTCTGAATATCCACTGTACTGTTGGTTACAGCAATCAAAGCTAGACGTACTAGCACGGTGCACGTTTATTTCTGTTTTATCTTCCTCTGTATTTCACCTGTATAGCGATGGACTGCAGTACGCTGATTGTGTTGCGATATGCACGCTGTTATATCGTTTCACATTTGTGCTTTATTCTGCGCCCGTCATTTATACTTCTGGGTGATGCAGGCTAAATGAACATTGCTGGTTGATTATAACAGCTAAGAGAGTATGAGAATTCTTAGCACAAGCAAGGCAGAAGTGGGTGCTGAAACTGAAACCACATCTTCATCAATTATTTTGTAAGGAATAACATCAGGGTTTTTGAATCCTGAGGAGATATAAAGAAACAAGCTCCTGCTTATGGGAGTGTTTGTGTGTGAGTAGTATTTCTATGACCTGCTAGGGAACCATTATCTCTGTCAACTTACATGTACAAATGGAATTTATTGACTTCTGTGATAATAACAATTTCATAGTATTTTCTAAAACAGTCTTTATTTTATAGATTCATATTTCTCCAATTGCTTTCAGAGTAAGAAGATTAACGTGGAAAAGAATTCTCATTCGCCACAGAGAAGATGTTTCTTTGGAAGGTGGAGGGCATGCTGAGATTCAGAAACAAAGGAAGTTCTCTACTTTGGAAGAAAAATGTTTTGATGCACGTGGTGCCAGAGGAAATCATATGGATTTGGGGCAGCTATATCGGTTTTTAGAAGAAAAAGGGTTTGCTGACATTTTTCAGATGTACTTTGGGGTTGAAGGGCATTGAAGTGTTTGAAGATCACCACAGGTGCCAGTGGTGGTCTTTGTAAGTTAATCCTTGTAACAGGTTCCTTAGCTGTTCTGCAACAGTTGATCAAGGAGGGAATTAATAATTTCTGGTTTACATGATGAATCTAGTTTTCAATGAAAACAAATATTAAGTGAAATCCCGAATAATGAAAATGACTATATGAATGCTGTATTACAGTTTCTGGTTTTAAGGATGTTTAGGGTACACACCTAATTGCAATGAAATAAAATATGCTTGATAATTTACTGGGCAGTTACAAAATTATAGAAGAATTAATAGGTGGAATTATGGTGTATGAATATAGGAATAAGAAGAGAGAAAAAAATTAAGCATGATATCTCAGGAGAGGAAATGTGGTGTTAGCATTGTTGGTTACTGTTTATATACACTATATGAAGACTTTTTTTGTAACAATCTTTTCTTCTGCTTTCAACCTGAAAGTATATTAAGCCATGAGATTAACGTTTTATTAAAAAAAAAAAAAAAGGAGCAAGTTCACAAAAGCCTTCTTCATGCAAACAGAGTGAGCTAGAATGCCTACTCTAAGGCATAAGAATTTTCCATAGGTGAAAATGCGTACATAGGTATGCATAGGTACATCTGTAGCCGAGGAGTCTAGTCTGTTTACTCATGTTACAGCAGAAGCTTACTGAGGATTGGGTTCCCTTACAGTACACTCTCAAAACAGTAAACTGATCCTTACCCTTTTGAGTTCACAAGTTAGCAGTTCACTAATGGGAAGTGCATTATGCTGCATCAGTTTTGAGTCTGATTTCAACAAATTCGTATCGATGAACACTGATTTTCTTATGTGCTAATGGATTCTGTATCTGAATCACACACATGTCATAAAAAGGAGACATTGGTTACTTCTGATGTCGATAAAATTTTTCTGTGTCGATCTGGTAAAATTCCTGACATTCACGTCTCTGGTACAGACCGGGACACCTTTTGTAGTGACACTCGGCTGTGATTTCATTCGGCCAAGCGCAGGTATGCTTGTACTTGAAGCTTGGCCAGACCGTAAGGCCTGGTAAGCACACAGGGATGCAGCGGCCCACCCGACAACTCGAGATGCGCTCGAAGCCTTCGCGCTTTAAGATCTGTGGACGGGCACAAAGTTTAAGGCTGTTTCCGCTAGATGACGCCAACGTTGTACGTCACAACAACGCCTTGGTCGTTATTGAAACTCTCTGCAGTTTTCCTGTCAGCACCGGCTCTTCTCTGGAAGCCACGTGCTACAGAGAGGGGCCACCCCTGCTGCCCAGCCCGTGCCCAGCCTCCCTCCCCGCCGCGCCCCGGCGACCGGCACCACCACAGCCCAGGCAGCGCCGGGGGCTCCGCCCACCTCCCTGGGT